ACCTGGTTGAGGGTCTTCCTATCCTTTCTTGACCCTCTACCTTTCCAAGCATCACGTCCCTCTCCCAGGAATAACCCCACCTCGCAACATGCCTGAAGTATACGAGGGGAAGCCTCATCATCTTTGCCTCCAAAGAGCACTCTGGCTGCACTCTCTCTAAAACATCGTTGCTTGTTCTCCTGGCCATGCATGGGATGTTCAGCACTCTTCTCCAACACCACAGCTCAAAGGCATAGTCTTCTTCTGTCATCCCTACTCATTATCCACCTCTCAGATGCATAGCAGGTGATCGGAAAGACCGTGACCTGAAACGGATGCACCTTCGTCCTCCAGCTGACATCATAATTTGGAGAGGCCTCTAACTACAGACTCTCCCAGTGTAATATGTCTCGATTTCCCGACTACTGGTACCAAGGGTGTTAACTGTGCATCCAAGTAAGACGAAGATGACAGCTTGAATTTTTTTCTGCATTTATCATGATACTGCCTATTGGTCCAGTAGTAAGAATCTTTGTCTTCTTGACGGTAACATGCAATCCATATGAAAGGCTGTATTCTTTGATTCTCTGCAGCAAGTGTTCCAAGTCCTCCTCAATTTCAACCAGCGAGGTTCTGTCAATTGCATAAGGCAGGATATTGATTAGTCTTTCTCTAATTCTGATGCCACAGCCTTCTTCATAGACTCCAGCTTCTCACATAATTTGCTCACATACAGATTGAATGGGTGGAGAGAGAGCCTACAGCCCTGACACACTGCTTCCTACTTGTAAACCATGTCGTAGTCTCTTGCTCTGTTCACGCAGCAGCCTCCTGGTCCAGGCACACACATTCATACCTGCATATATGTGGTATATCAAATAAACAAGCCACTTAAGGGACTTTTTAACCATATTTACAGGACATTGTTACATTCATAGTATTGCGCAACCGTCATTACTGTTTCCAAAAGTTTTTCAATTTCCCAAACAAAAACGTGTTATTCCTGAAACCATAACTCCTGATTTCCTCCTTCTACCCTTCACTGACAGTCACAACTTTGACCTCCTTCCATCTGCCTCTTGTATGTATTTCATGCAAATGAGATGATACAATAGTTGTTCTTTTGTGTTTAACCTATTTCCCTGAATAAGTTTTCAGAGTTCATTGATGTTGTAGCATCCACGGAAGTGCAGTTTCTTTCCGTGGTTGAATAATACTTGATTGATTTTGTAGACCATATTTTGTTTTTCCATTCTTCTCTCTTGATGTACCTTTGGGTTTATTTTTTGCCTTTTGAATACTCAGAATAATATGCTAATGGACAAGTATAGCTGCTTTCCAAGGCTTGTGAATACACATCTAAGAGGGTAGGTGATGGGTCAAATGTAGTTCCATGTTTCACTTTTTGAGGAACACCATACACGGCTGCACCGTTTTGCATCTCCATTGGCAATGGACAAAGATCCGGGTTTTCCATGTCCTTAACAGTGTGTGTGTGTGTGTGTGCGTGTGTGTGTGTGTGTGTGCACGCACATCATGCTGGAATAAGTGGAGGGTGAGTGTGAGAGCAGCAGTCCATCCACAAGCTTGGTGGACATAGTGACTGTAGCCGTGGACTCACATATATCAGATTGCAGCATCACACAGGGCTCAGATCCATTGTTCCTAGGGGTGGTTCATGAGTCACAGGCAACTGAATGACATGCACCAACAATGTGATGACACAATGCCTGTAACGATGGGCTTAAGCCCTCACCATTGGAGGTTGTGAGGATGGTGTGTGATAGGGCAGATTTGAGATCTGTGGTTCATTGGCTCCCCTGAGTACAAGTGTACTTGAACTTGATGACACCTCACAACAATAACAGTGGATGTGAAGTGAGCTCTCAATCGTATTTTGTTATGTATTTACCTAACCAAGGAACTCTGGGGACTCAGTGGTAAGAAATTGTGTTGCCATCCACAGTTAGGCGGTTTGAATCCATCAGCTGCTCTGCGGGAGAAAGACAGACAGTCTCCTCCTGTGTGATTTGTAACCTCTGAAAACCCACTGGAGAGTCAGTTATGAGTCAGCTGGACTTGACAGGACTGAACAACAACTATTAATTAACATGGAGAATATTTTATGTGGCTGTCAACCATCTGTATATCTTCTGTAGAGAAATGTCTATTCAAATGCTTTCCACCCTTTGGAAAATTGAATTTGTTTTGTCTTTTTGGATAATGTACTGAAGGCGTCCTTCCCAAACATTTTCTTAAATCCTGTAGCATGTCGTTCTCACTTTGTTGCTAAAGTCTTCGGATGTACGAAAGTTTTCATTTTAATGAAATCCAATTAACTTATTTTTGTTGTTTGTGAATGATTTTGGTATGTATATGCCCAAATGGGCTTGATGTTTCCCCCTTCTATTTTATTCCAAGTTTATTAAAGTGTTAGCTAGATTATTTAGGCCACTGATCCGTTTTGAGTGGATTTTCACGAATGGTGTGAGATAAGAATCCAGCTTTCATCTTATGCCGTCTCCTTCTGGACCAGTTGTGTGACTGTACAGCAACGGAGAACTATTAGCCAAGAGGATGAAAAGATGATTTCTCTGGGTGTCTAATTATTCTAACCCCATTCACTAGAGCTCTTGTTCTTTTCGCATTGAATGCACTTGACATCTTTGTCGCAAATAAATTCAACATGGATTTCTTTCTGCATTTTCAGTTTTATTCCATTAGTTTGTATCCCTACCCTTACATTAGTATCACACTGTTTTGATTATTATAGCTTTGTAGTATGTTTTGAAATCAACCACATAGAGACTTACATTGGTCCTGCTTAAAAAACAATCTTATGAAATATGATACAAAATAGGTGACCCTGCAGGGCATTATGCTGAGTGAAATATCTCAGTCACAAAAGGACAAATATTGCATAGTGCCACTGTTGTAAAACAGGACTGACATCGGGGTTGAGGGGAGACTGAGAAAGAGGGAATAAATTATGTATACTGCATTGAAACAGATGAGGGAGAGAACTGTTTAAAAGCGATCTATGATTAGGTATTATTATCATGACAGGAGTCCAGAATGAAGGCTGCACAGTGGAGTGGACTTGAGGGGAGGGATTGTATAGCAATGAAAGAATTTTTCTTTTACTTTTCAAAGAGAAGAGCGAACTGGGGGGGAGGAGTGGGCAGGGAGAAAAGTGCAACAATGAATGAATGGAAATCCAAAGTCTCTGTAAATAAACGTTCATTAAAATGAATAATAAAGAAAAAAGATAAAAAAGGATGGTTTTGACAATTGGGGCCCGTTGTAACTTCATCTGAATGAAGAACAGCTTTTCTTTTTATGAAAAAAGTTGATGTAATTTCAGTAAGAATTATGTTGCACTTAGAGATGAGTTTAGGTAGTTTGAGCATGTTAAGACCATTAGGTTTTCTTTCCTGTGAGCACAAGATATCTCTCCATTTATTTAAGCCCTGTTAAAATCTTTCAGCGGTGTTTTGCAGTTTCCTTGTGCAAGTTTTTCACCTTCCCGCTTAAATTTATACTTCAGTACTTTATTCTCTTAGTTGCTGTGTTGTTGTTGTGAAGTGCCATCGGGTCTTAGGTGACTCATAGCGACTCTATGAGCAAAAGATCTGAGCACTGTTCATTGAGTTTCCAGAGGCAAGCCATTTCAGAAGTAGATGCCACTCCTACTTCCAAGCTTGGATTTTTTAAAATTTTATTTTATCTTAATGAACATTTATAGAGATTTTGGATTTCCATTCATTCATTTTTGCACTTTTCTCCCTGCCCCCGCCTCCCCCTCCCCGCCCAGTTTGCTCTTCTCTTTGAAAAGCAAAAGAAAAACTCCTTCATTGGTAAACAAGCTTGTTGTAAACAGGAAACTCCACCAAACACTGTCCACCATGGATAACCATTCTCGCATTTGACACATTAGTGTCACAGTGTTCAGCATCACAGCAACCACGAGTTGCCTCTGTACAGCAAATGGACAGACCAGTGTTGTACCACTTAGAAGAATGTTTGCCAAAAAACAAAACCAGGCCTGAGGACCACATATTAAAATCACCTACCCTGGGTTTGGTAGCATCACTTTCTGTAAACTAGACCAACGTAGCTCTCTCTATGTTGTCGTTGTTAAGTGCCATCGAGTCATAGATGACTCAGAGAGACCCTATGAATGAAAGACCTGGGCACTGTTCATAGAGTTTCAGGAGGCAAGCTAGTATGGAAGTAGATGCCACTCCTGCTTCCAAGCTTGTTTTAATTGGGAAGCTCCACCAAACACTGTCCACCATGGGGGACCATTATCACATTTGACACATCAGTGTCACAGTGTTTAGCATCACAGCAATCACAAGTTACCTCTGTACAGCAATGCACAGACCAGGGCTATACCCTTGGATACTATAATGAATGGAATTATTTTTTTTAATTTTTCTTTAAATACTCTTTTATTATTATTATTAATTTTAATAGACATTTACAGAGGTTTTGGGTTTCCATTCATTCATTGCCGCACTTTTCTCCCTGCCGTCCCCTCCCCACCAGCTCGCTTCCCCCTCTGAAGAGAAAAAGAAAACAAAATTCCTTCATTAGTATACAATTCCCACATCCCTTCCCCACACCCCACACCCCGAGTACACTTCTCCAGGAATCCAGAATTAAGTTTGCATGGAATTATTTTTTTAAATAATTTTCTTAATTTCCTTTTCACATTGTTCATTGCTGGTGCATAGACGCGTAATTGATTTTTACATGTTGACTCACAACATTGTTTAATTACGTTGATGACATTTTTAACTTCCAAAAGTGTGTATTGGGAGACAATGGAATATGCTGTCTTAGTACTGAGTAGAGCCGTTCAGTGGAGGAGAACTGCTCTACCCAATACAGTGCAATTTCAACCACACGCTGTGTGGAATATGTGAGAATGCGTTTGGGCAGGGATTTTTCAAGAAGCCACACAAGGCTTGGCTAACCTGATTTGTTTATTTTGTGTTTTTATTCTTCTTTTGCAGTCAACTTTGACCATTTTCAGATTCTGCGGGCCATTGGCAAAGGGAGTTTCGGAAAGGTAAGGGGATGTTGTTTTTCGTTTTCTCCACAAAATAAACACACCGTGGCCACTGGGCTTGGGTGTGTCTGTGCATGAGCTGCTGGGCTCTGGGAATTTTCTCTTTGGCAGAAACTTTCGGATTTGCCGACTTTGAGATGTGAAAGGAAGCCGGAAAAGTTTCCTTTGGATACGCTGTAATTTCATTCTGAAAATCAAATTACCCAGCAGCCCTGGTGAATTACAATGGTAATTATTTCAAGATTGCTAATGCAATTTTTTCCTTGAAGATCTGAATGAAGAAAGTGGGGGGGGGAACCCCACAAATTGGTCAGATGGCCAAAAGCAGCTCTTGGCAGCAGCACTGGCAACCATTGTTGGGAAATTTCATATTTTGACCCTCAGCTGTTTCTATGGGAAGGCTGTAGAAAATGAGGAAAACGCAGGTGCTTTTAGAATGGAAAAAGGGTTCCTTTCCCCACAAAGACTTGTCTGTTCCCATTTAACAGAAATTGCTTTTAACAATTGCTTTGAATTGTCACCCCCTCTCCCAAATGTGAGAGAAGAGCTGATGTCTTTGAACTATGGTATTGACAAAGGATGTTGAATCTATCGTGGACTGCCAAAAGAACAGATGTATCTAGGAAGAAGGGAAACCAGAGTGTTCCTAAGAAATGAGAGTAGTGGGGCTTTGTCTTACATATTTTGGCCTTGTTCCTAAGAGAGACTTGCTTTTGGAGAATCGATTTTCCAGTTACAGTTGGAAAACTAAAGGGTCATTATGCTGAGTGAAATATCTCAGTCACCAAAGGACAAATATTGCACAGTGCCACTGTTGTAAAACGGGACTGACACAGAGCTTGGGGGAGTGCAGGGAGACTGAGAAAGATGGGATAAATAATGTATACTGCATTGAAACAGATGTGAGAGAAAACTGTTTGGAAGGCATATATGATTAGGTATTATTGTCATGACAGGTGTCCAGAATGAAGGCTGCATAGTGGAGTGGACTTGGGGGGAGGGATTGCATAACAATGAAAGAATTTTACTTTTCAAAGAGAAGAATGAACTGGAAGGAAAGGGTGGACAGGGAGAAAAGTGAACAATGAATGAATGGAAATCTAAAGTCTCTGTAAATTTTCATTAAAATTAATAATAATAATAATAATAAAAAGTAAAGGGTCAGCAAAGAGAGGAAAACAGTCAGCGCGATGAATTGACACCGCCGAGATTGTGGGGGGAGGCAGCATCGGGCAGGAGGTGGTTCCGTTGTTCAGAGGAATGTTGTGCATCACTGCTGACTTCACAGCACCTACCAACCACCGGCGGTGAGCCACAGTTCTGCTCCTGTCTGCAGTTGTAATTTCACGTGAAAGTGAATTTCCTTTATGTGAGGATGTCACACGGATGTTGTGAAGTGCTGGGCGTTATGAACAGCACATCACAATGTTGCCTGATCCTGCGTCATCCTACCAATATTCTCCGCGCTCAAACCTATTCTTATTTTAAAAAAAGACTTTTTTATTATTATTTGAGTGAACATTTACAAAACATATTGGTTTTTCATTAAATCATCAATAACATTTTCCCCCGTTCCTTCATTACTGCATTTTTCTCCCTACCCATCCCTCCCCACCCCAGTTCGCTCTTTTCTTTGAAAAGTAAAAGAAAAATTCTTTCATTGTTATACAATCCTTCCCCCCAAGTCCTCTCCATTCCACTATGCAGCCTTCATTCTGAACCCCTGTCATGATAATAATACCTAACATATATCGCTTTTAAACAGTTCTCTCCCTCATCTGTTTTCAATGCAGTATACATTATTTGTTCCTCACTGTGTCTGTCTCTGGAAACGTCTTCCTCTCTTTTACGGATGCTTGACTTTTCCAAGCAGAAGCCGTATTAGTGGTGCTGTTATTACTAGTTATCTTCAAGTTGATTCTCACTCTTGGTGACACTGTGACGCAGAGAGCTTCCCCCAAGGGCTGCTGCCTTGAATTCAGTCTGTGTGGTTCCTGAGCTTTAAGAAAATACTTTTTTTTTTAAAAAAAAAATATTTCTGTTCATTAAAGCCACACACTGTGATGTTTCTGTTACGGCAGCACTAAGAAACGAAGACAAGTGCTTGTCGAATGCCAGATCATTTAATAGTCTCTTAACTCACCACTCTTTTTTTAAATTCTGTACTGATTTCTTTACAAAGTTTGCATATTGTTTTTCACAAAAGATCCTTCTGATTTCCTTCACCCCAGCCACCCATCAAACTGTGCAACCCTATGATTAACACCCTACCCCACCCCACTCATCCTCACCCCTCTGCTTCCACCCTCCACTCCTTGGATACTCATTCTACAATAATGGTTTTATACAGTATTTGTCCTTGTGGGACTGAGTTAGTTCACTCAGCATAATGCTCTCTAATCCCTCCCAAATTAGTTAATAATTTACAAAATCATTGTTCCTGTGTGCTGAGTGGTGTTCTATTGTGTGACTGTACCGTAGTTTCTCAATCCATTCGTTTGTGTTTCCATGTTCTTGCGATGGTGAATAATGCTGCTATTAACATTGGTGTACAAGTCTCTGTTTGAGCCGCAGTTCTCATTTTCTCAGGGTAAATTCCAAGCAATGAAATAGCTGGGTCATATGGAATTTCTGTGTTCAGCTTTTTGAGGAAGCGCCAAACTGCTTTCCAGAATGGTTGTGCCAAACCTACTACTCTTAAATTGATTCCAACTCCAAGGAACACTGATAGACTAGATCTAACCCTTGGGTTAGAGAGACTTCATCATTCTCCTAGGAGTGCTGCAGAGTTCACACCGCTAACTGTCCCTTCTCCCCTCCCTCCCTCCCTCCC